TTTTTTTTTCTTTTTTTTTTTTTTTTTGTTGGCGAAGCAAACGGAAAATAGAAAATGAGACCAGTGAGACGTCGTTAATCCCGCCTAATTTCCAAAGCAAGGCCGTGCAAAGAGCTCAGGTGCGTGTCCGGTACGCGGCGGTGAGTGGGGAGGAGGGGGGAGGCCGTCAGCGAGGAGGACCACGGTGTCCGTAGCGTCTTTCCCGCTTCCCGGATGGACAAACGGAGACGGAGGGAGGAAGATCTGCTTCTGTCGCCGATGTCGTGCCGGCATTTTGGGAGGCGAGATCCCGGTATCTCCCCAGCGGACCGCGGTACCCGCCGGGTACGGTTCGGGGAAGGGGATATTTAACCGCACAAAACCTGCCGGGAGCCCGCTCCGGCACCGCGGAATTCCCATCGCCCGCCCGAAGGCCTCCAGAGCGTGGGAAGAGGAGAGGGAACTACAAATTTAGCAGCTAAAAAATAAAATAAAACCATCATTTGGAAAAAAAAATAAAAAATAAATCAAACTTTTGGTATCTCAGAAGATTTCCACGGGGAAATTTTAGCCTGTCCATCTTTTGCCGCATCCTTCCCGCAGGCAAGATGCTCGGTGAGATGCCGGTACCCAGGCACGGCACGGCACCGCAACGGCTCATCGGTGGCTCCGGCAGGTCAAGCCCTGGGTTGAGCATCCCTCGGCCGGGTCTCCAACCCCATTTTATCACCGGGGAGAGGAGGAAAAATCAGGGCGGGCATCAGCTCGGCTGGGATGTGCCGGGTGACTCTACCACAACGCTCTTTTTTAGCCCACGGCTCGTGCACGGCTGTGCCCAACCGGGCAGGATGCGGCCACATTTTCCCTCTTTGGCTGTCGTTTCTCACAACTATTAATTTCCACCCAATTTTTGGAGGATCTCCTCTCCTCCTCCAACCGCTCGCTTTAAGTTGCCGCCGTTTGCTTCGTAATAATCAGCAGTTTTTTTTTTTTTTTTTTTGTATGGTTTTTCCAATGAGAAACTTTGGGGAAAAAAAGCTTGGTTGGGCAAAATTTATTAAAAAAAGCGCCAATCTGCTTCTCTTTTGCCATCATCCCAGTACATTTTTACGCAAAACGCCTCATTTCAGCAGGCTGAGCTGGACCCTGCTCGGCGGAGGGCTCTGGGAGGGCTCGAAATAGAAATACTGTGATTTTTTTTTTTCTCGGTATCGGCGGCATCCGGGCAGGTTTTGTGTCGGTTTGCGACTGCGACCCCAGGGGTGAGCGGGGCCGGGGTTGTCCCCGATGCACGGCAAGGGTGACGAGGCGGCAGGCTGGGACGGGGAGAGGGGACCGGCATCCCGGAGAAGAGCGCCTGCAGGGAGAAAGCCCATCCCTAAAGCCTTACGCCAGCCAGGATCGGTCCCTTCTCCCCCAAACCTTCAAGCCCTGCGGGGTGCTGCTGCACTTGGGGCTCAGGGCGCTGATGCCCGTCCCTGGGAAACCACCGGAGCAAGCAGCCCCACAAGGCAATTCCTTGGTTTTTTTTTTCCTTTTCCTTCCACTAAACCACTCCACCGAGACTTCAGCAGGTTTTCCGCGCAGCCCGCCCTCGCCTTTCGAGGACTAGCGACCTTCAGGCAAAATCCCAAAGGAGAATTATTTCAGTCGCCTCCTTCATTGTAAAAGCCACTTATTCCTATTTCGCTAATTGAAAGCTTTGGCCCAGGTGGGAACGGGAACGCATTCTTAAAATGAACTCGTTTGCGAGTTCGGTTCGGTAAAACGCCGCAGTTTTCTTTAAAAGCGGCACAAACACATCCTTCCGCTTCCGAGGCGCTGCGCCGGGGCAGAGGGAAGACTCTCCCCTCTCCGGTTGGGAAAGGTTCAATGCCGCTTCAAAATGACAGCGGCCAGAAATAGCCGAGTTCCCCGAACTGCCCGACAGGACGCTGTCTGCATCGCCTTTTCACACAAACGGGATTAAACCTTCAAAATCTGCCCCTCATTCCCCCGACGCACCTTTCCGGGAGCTGATGCCTCTGCGGCGCATTTAAGATGGCCGATGCCAGAGGAAAACCGGCCAAGTTAAACCTTTTTTTTAGGAAAACCAGCGCCTGCCAAAGCCCTTCGTGATTTCCAAGAGCTGGTTCGTGTCCGAACCGCCCCTCCCTGCACACCCCCCCCAAGATTTGGGGTGCTCCGTGCCCCGTCTCCCCTCGGAGCCCGTCCGGCCGCAGGCGC